TGAGACTGGATGTGGCACTTAGTGCCATGGTCTACTAACCATGGTAGGGTTAGACTTGATCTTTGAGGTCTTTTCCAACCTGGCCAATTCTATGATTCTATGATAACAGCTTAATCTGAGATGGCAGGAGAAGTCATCATCTCTCTAAAGAATTGAGTCTATATACACAAACCCTTTTTATCCTTTCTAATATGATGCACAACTTTTCTGCATGTATTACTTTCAACAGAATTACAAAAGATCTCACTGAGATTACTTGCAGTTTCTCTTTCCAACCAAAGAAGGCAAGTATTATAGGCTGCAGAAATTTGTAGGTGGATAAAAGGTAAGAAAACCACAGGACAGTGACGAATATAATGAATTTCATTTTCACAAGCTTCTAATCCTCTGAGGAAGAGAAGAACATAGGTTCTTTTTAACAAGGCATGGGCCTTTTTAACAAACAAATGTATACCCTGCAGTGAAGTAGCATGAGGTGAGAGGATACATTCCAAGCTAAATGCAAACTAGCCCTTTCCTGTGAGGCAAGTAAAGTACATATCCTAGAAAGTACAGCACAGCTGGATGCCCACATGCGCAAGAGACTAGTAATTTTAGATTAGTTGATTTTTGTGTCGTTTGTAAAACTTTTTGCACTTACTGTAATTCTCTCATCTTTGTCATCTAGAGGAGTCCCATCTTTCTTCCATGATATAGTGGGTTCTGGATGACCTCTTGGGGGCTGACATTCCATCACTGCCGGTTCACCCACAGCTACCATTACATCTGATGGATTTTGTCTGAAGTCATCCCGTAGAACTGTAAGAAGAAAGAAAATGAAGCAAAAAATTACCCAAGAATATACCAACAGCACAGCAAATTATTTTGTTTTGGCCTTTAATGGTGCCTGCTGCTACTGTACTTTGTATTAATGAACAAATCAGTTAATGAATATTGTTTGGCATTCATGGATGGTCTCCAGTGCTTCCACCCAATAACACAGAAACCCATGTACAATTCTTATTTAACTTTCAACATACAAGCCAAGTGACAGAGGTGAAAGGCTGACATAGATTGTCTATACGGAAGAGCTGCCTCAATGGTAGTACTTGGCATATAGTATGTCTAGTGCACCTGGAGTGTAGGGGTCAGTTTCACCTCTGTGCCCACCAAGACCATGGAGCAGATCCTCCTGGAAACTATGCTAAGACACAGGGAAAATCAGGTGGTGACTGGTGACAGCCAACATGCCTTTGCTAAGGGCAAATCACACCTGAAAAACTGTGTGGCCTTCTGCAATGGGGTTACAGCAGCAATGGATGAGAGGAGAGCAACTGACATCATCTACTGGACTTGTGCAAAGCATTTGACACTGTCAAAACTGGAGAGACATGGATTTGATGAATGGACCACTCAGTGGATAAGGAACTGTCTGGATGGCCACACTCTAAGAACTGCAGTCAAGTGGAAAGCAGTGATGAATGGTCTTGCTCAGGGATTGGTATTGCTGCTCTTTAACAACTCTTTTGGTAACATGGACAGGTGGATTGGGTGCGCCCTCAGCAAGTTTGCCAACGAAACCAAGCTGTGTTGTGCAGGCAACATGCTGAATGGAAGGGGTGGTATCCAGAGGGACCTTGACAGGCTTCAGAGCTGGGTTTGGGGCTGTTCAGCCTGGAGAAGAGAAGGCTCCAGGGAGACTTTATAGCACCTTCCATAACCTAAAGGGGCCACAAGAAAGATGAGGAGGGACTTTTAATAAGGGCATGTAGTGATAGAACAAAGGGTAATGGGTTTGAACTGAAAGAGGGAAGGTTTAGATTAGACATTAGGGAGAAATTCGTTATTGTGAGGGTGGTGAGGTGTAGGTTTCCCAGAAAGGCTGTGGATACCCGTCCCTGGAAGTGTTCAAAGCCAGGCTGAATGGGGCTCTGAGCAACCTGGAGTAGTGGAAGGCATCCCTGCCCTGTCCATGGCATGGGGGTTGGAACTAGATGACCATTAAGGTCCCTTCTAACCCAAATTATTCTACGATTTCTATCACAGTTGAAGATGGCACAGTATCTTCTGCTCAGGTAGAACATAACTCGGAGAGAAGCACAGCAGAGATTGCTTTCTGTCCCTTTTTTTCTGAGACACAAGGTTAGCCTGCCAGTAACTCAAACGTTTATGGTTGAAGATTGGCTGCTGGCTGTACATATTGCACTCATCCCATAATTTATGGCAAAAATGCATAAACTACCTATGCTTCCCAGTTCTGTGATGACACTACAAGACATTAAACATTGTTCTGCCTTAGCTACACTTGTCTTTGCAATCTGGCTTTCATCTTTTTCAAGCAAAAAATATTAAAAATCATTCCTGATATCTGGGAGTCATCACTTAGCCTAAGTAAGGACCACATCCTTTACATGGAAGTAGTCAATTTTACTACCTCTATATAGACATAACATTTTTATTGCAGTTTTATTACTAGATTTTGTTCTTTCTGATCATTTGGCCAAGCTGAGGTCTAGGAAAGTCTAGTTTCCTCCAACAACTTACTATGAATTTTATCAATATCTGTGTGCTTATTTTTATTTTGGGAGAGAAGAGACATCACACTGTGCTCAGCAGGCCACTACACAGGGGGACAATTTAACAGAATAATGGCATTCTTAAGTCTTGCCAAGTAAGTGGCACAAGGTTTAATCTAAAATAGGTAACTCAAATGATAACAAATATAACATTCTCGTCCTCTCCACTGCTGTTACTCCATCTACATGGAACAAAGGATATGGTAATGGAAAAGCACATTACAACCAAAGGACTCCTAGGATTTTGACAAAGCTGTATGTCACTCTTGCTACCTGCAACAATCTTGTGTCAACAGTAAATAGTGCTGATAATCTGCAGCAAACAATATATCTCCCAAACTGTGGACCACAGATATATAGACATTTACTACTGAATAGAGGTTTGGTTGTTAATGTTGCTTCACAGTGAGGTGTGATTGTCAGCTGTTAAGGAATGTGGTTGTGCTTACAGATTGGCAGGTACAGCACTACCACCAAACCATTCCTTTCTGGAAGGACTTTCATGCTGTTAAGACCTCTTAAAATGGCCTGAAGGCAATTGGGTCATCTACTTTGAGACAGAGGTATATATCTTTTTTTCACACCTGCTTTCTGCAATGCTATATAATCTAACATGAAGGAAGGGAGAAAAATGACTTTTAGTTATTTGTTTTGTAGGATTATTGGAAAATAGCCCTGTCAATAATCAGTAGGACTACCTTGTATTTTTTCTTCTCAAGTCAACATTCCTTACATTCTGATCTACCATTCAGTAGCTACGGTTATGGGCTATGTCTCCAGCTTGGTGCATTATAACATTATACACAACAGGGAAAGTTCCAGGTTTATATGGAAGTGTAGATGGGAATCAAAAGCAGTAAATAAAGAGTATTTTGCTACTTTTCTAGAAAAAGGACAAAATTTCTGGAAGTAACAAAGAACACCTGTGTACCAACAAGACTTAAATATAGTACAGATCTCACCAGACATCATTTGAATTTGCCAATAACTTATATTTCAAATACTTCAGTTCAATCATTGAAATTTCTGGATGCCCTGAAATCAGGAGATACTTATGCACTGAAAGAGGATAATCAAGGATACAATGTCTCTATCACTTTAAAAATGCAAACTAATACAACAGAATGATAGGACTTAATGAAGAAATTACAGAATAATTTATGTTGGAACGGACCTCAGGAGGTCATCTAGCCCACAACAATGAGATATTATTGGATGAACACGTTCTCTTGGACAGACTAGGTCTCTTGAACATCCCCTAGCTCTCCCGGGGAGGTTTAGGTTGGATATTAGGAAGAGATTTTTTACAGAGAGAGTAATCAGGCATTGGAATGGGCTGCCCGGGGAGGTGGTGGATTCACCATCCCTGGAGGTTTTCAAGATGAGACTGGATGTGGCACTTAGTGCCATGATCTAGTAACCATGGTAAGGTTGGACTCGATAATCTTGGAGGTCTTTTCCAACGTGGCTGATTCTATGATTCTATAATCTTTTCTGTTTAATACTTTAGAGACTTGATCTGGCTCGAAGTCACTGGTCATATTATTACTTCTCCTTCCCTTCCTCCTTCTCCAAACTAAATAACATAAAAGAAGAAGAAACAGAAGTTGCCCTAAGTTACTAAAAAAACCCCATATATCCAGTTTCCTGTGTCAACAACAGCACATGAAAGTGAAGAAGAGTTTATTTGGTACACCACACTTCTATTGCAATGCAATAAAAAGGGTGTTTTGACCATGAGTAAGAAGCCTCTTATTAATGTTGGAAGATTGTATCACTTGGATAAATCTAAGAAATATATAAAAAGAAGCATACTTCAGTTGAAAAAGAAAGGTAAAATAAAGTCATCTTAATTAAACTCTCAGTGCTTTTCAAGTCTGAAAAACCATGTAAATCTAAGAAGAAAGCCTACCAGAGCACCTCAGATGGCTTTAGCACCTTTGAAGCAACAAAGAGGTCCAGTACTCACATAATAAAAACAAATTACATCTGTAATTTCTACACTCCTTAGTCTTATAATAGCTTTACAAGCATTGTACCTTTTCTGCAAACCAAGACCTTTCAGAAATTAACCAGTTCTAAGAGAATGCTTTAGGAGGACATCAAAGTTCCAGGCCACAAATACATCAAAACAAGTTATTTTTTTTCCATTTACTATGAATTATTTTGGGTCTAACATTACATAATGAAATGCTAACAAAATGTAATCCATTAGAGATTACTCCACAGATAGCCGTCATGTAATTATTTTTGCAGCTGTAAAGTAGATACATGCTCTGGGGTTTTCTTGCCTCAGGCCTTGGCAATCTTGCATGAAGTTATAAATCTAAAATTTTCATCCCTTACTTTTCTATTTATTCTGTCCTTCATAGTCAAGGCTTACTGTAAATTTGGAATACATTTCCCTCTGAAGATATATTAGAAGTATACTTTGCAATCCAGTACAGCAAACACTTTCTGTCACCAAACGGCCAAATTTCACCACATGCATCTCTTTCTACATATATGCATTTGGAATGAAAATAGAGACATTAAGAGGATGTTTGATTGTTTTAAAAGAAATTCAGTGTAGAATCTTCATATTAGGTAAAATGTTAGAAAACTTTAACCACAGCCTGCCAGAAATAGCACCTCACCTGTTCTGGTGGGGTTTTTTTCTAAAATGAATAATGATTGCAATAATTGTTATTGCACAGTTAGAATAACTTTGTGATCTTGCTATGTGAACTGTGAACTCCTGCACTTGATTGTTTTAAAAGAAATTCAGTGTAGAATCTTCATATTAGGTAAAATGTTAGAAAACTTTAACCACAGCCTGCCAGAAATAGCACCTCACCTGTTCTGGTGGGGTTTTTTTCTAAAATGAATAATGATTGCAATAATTGTTATTGCACAGTTAGAATAACTTTGTGATCTTGCTATGTGAACTGTGAACTCCTGCACTTGTGCTCATTTTTACATTGAACTAATAAGACTCAAGAGCAACTTTTGTAACTCCATTTAAAAGTCAACTGCTTATACAACTATTTCATATTGTGTACTATTCAATCAGCTAAACTGCTTTACTTTCCCCAGAGAATCTTTTTCAGAGAAGAAGGGAACTGGCAACATAAGTAGAGACAGCATTCTTGTGTGAACCCTAAACAGTGCTTTGTAGAATGCAACACCATGGTTTTTACTTAAGTTCTTTTTTGCCTGCTATGAAAACCAGTAGGGAGTCACTACTGGGTGAAGTGGGAGCAA